CTAGTATATATATATATATATATATATATATATATATATATATATTAAGTTCTTAAATACTTAATAATAAAAAGATGATCTCTATTCAGTATTAGGATATTACACCCTCTCTCTCTCTGACGTAGGCATGGGCACACACAAACACATCCATACACACATTGTTCATGAGGTTGGTTGCTACATTGAGAAAGTCACAACCCTAAAACTTGACATCCTAAATTACTACTAAATAGGGTTTCACCTAAAGGAGTATTGTATGAGTTGCTCGTGTAGGACCACTAATCTGAGCTTGTTTAAAGGTCCTACTAATTCTTTGAAGATTGCCTACATTTTGTTATTTAAGTAAGGGATTGTGTACAAAGAAACCATTTATCTTATGTGCATGGAGGTCATAATCCTTCTTGTCCCTTAAATTTCAAAATGAGTAAGTGTAATAGTGTCATTGACACAAAGTTCTAAAACAAAATTCTCGGACTTCATGACTCACCTCAAACGATCAAATTTGACATCTAATGGGTTGGAACGACCGGGACCTCCATATACAAAAAATAAATGGTCTCTTTATAAACAACCTCTTTAAATAAACACCAGGAACAACTAAATCTCTATCCAACCTTGATATTAAGTTGGCACTTCATATCAAAGTTGGATACGATCCAAAAATTTTATGGCTTTCTTATAAGGATTCAACAACATTAATGGCCAACATTTCACCCAAATTTCAAACAATGCTATGCTATGTAGTTTCCATATGGCTAGAAAAATCATTAACCAAAATAATTCACATTTTCAGGCCTGTAACGAGTCGAATTTTCCGACACGCTCTCCTCCTGACTGGTGGATTGAAGAACTGTTGCCCCTAAACGTTGAAACCTTTCAAAGAATCGTGGCTGGGATGAAAGGAAGAGGAGCGAGGCCTCAAAGCTTCGCAACTGCTCTCATGGCCTACTCTGAAAGATCGCTCAAAGAACTCATTCGAGATCACACAGGAAATGGCACAACCTCTCTGACTTCTAGTAATATCGATACCGAAAAGAACCAAAAGAAATTACTAGAAAACATAGTTGCCATCTTGTCTGCAGAGAAAGTGGCCTTCCCTGTAAACTTCCTGTGTTGCTTGCTAAGAGCTTCCATTTTCCTAAATTGTTCGATGACTACAAAAAATGAACTAGAAAGGAGGATTTCAGCTATACTAGAGCATGTTGGGGTGGATGACTTGCTGGTGCTTTCTTTCACTTATGATGGAGAGAGGCTTTTCGATCTTGAGAGTGTTCGTCGTATAATTTTGGAGTTCATCGAGAAAGAGAAGGCCGTCGGTTTCTTCAATGGAGAGTTTAAAGTGTGCTCTTCAGCAATGCAGAGGGTGGCCAAGACCATAGATACTTACTTAGGTGAGATAGCAACAGATGCAGACTTGAGCATCTCAAAGTTTACAAGCATTGCGAACTTAATACCGAAGGCGGCAAAGAAATTTGATGATGATTTGTACCGGTCCGTCGATATTTACTTGAAGGTAAGCATATCAAGTTTCTAGGATTTTCTGAAAAGAAGGAACAAAATAAAATAGAAAAACATTGTTTAGTTAAAGAAAAAGGGATTATTTCATAGCATAAGCCATTCAAAATAATGTGGAATATTGTTTCCTCTATAAATTTTTATTACACACCTCATAATTTTATTTTATTTTTTGGTGGGTTCTAATAAAGTACACAATAAGACTGTGCATCCTTCGAACATGAAAATCACAGTCACCCATTGCTGTTACATGTGAAATCGGGTGACAGAGAGACAACCATTGAACTTGAAAAAATCTATCTCAATTTTTCTGAGTAAAAATGGCACATCTCTAGCTATCCAGTCTCACATCAAATTGTTAGAGGTGATCGTGACCTTCTTGTACAAAAAATAAACTATCTTATGGTACGATCTCAAATTGATTGAATATCGAAGATAACTTATCTGTGCTTTCATTCTACAGGCACACCCAAACCTTGATGAGATAGAGAGAGAGAAGGTATGCAGTGTCATGGATCCTTTGAAGCTCTCATATGAAGCTAGGGTCCATGCCTCCCAAAACAAGCGCCTCCCTGTCCAAATAGTTCTGCATGCCCTCTATTATGACCAGCTCAAGATAAGGAGTGGTAAAGAAGATGCCAAGAATTTTGATGCGTCATTCACTAGAAACCAAGTCCAAGCTGATATCTCTCTTATCAAAGAGAATGAATCTCTAAAATCTGAGCTTGCAAAAATGAAGAGTTATGTTGATGGCCTGCAAAAAGGCAAGGGAATTGCAACGAAATCATCCAAGAAAACCTTCTTCTCTTCGATGTCTAAGAAACTTGGTAGGTTGAATCCTTTCCGACACGGATCGAAGGACACTTTGAATGTAGAAGATGGTAATGCAGTCGATATTACGAAGCCGAGGAAGCGGAGGTTCTCGATCTCTTGATGTATTGTTGGATATTCATTAAAGGGAATGAAGCTCCAAAGTCTGAGCCAGTAATAATGAAAAATTATATGGATGGTCTGCAAAAAGACCAGGGAATTGGAGAAAAATCATCGAATTGGAGAAAAATCATCTAAGAAGCCAACATTCTCTCAATGGCAAAGCCGAAACCTTTTCGACATGAATCCAAGGACACTTTGCACATAGAAGATCATAGTGCGGTCAATGCAGTGCTGCCGAGGAGGTTGAGGTTCCTGATCTCTTGATGTGTTATTTGATGTTGGTTTTCTTGTGTGCTTTTTCGTTTCATTTTTCTTTTTTTTTCCTTTCTTTTTTTGGTTGACTCTTGGTGTACAGTTCAAGTTTGAAGCATTCAGTGATTGATAGTTTTTCTCTGTGTACTTTGATTCTTGAGTTATAAGGAATTTCCAGTCTCTTGATGTGTTATTTGATCTTTTTTTTTTGGTTGACTCTTGGTGTACAGTTCAAGTTGAAGCATTCAGTGGATTGATAGTTTTTCTCTGTGTACTTTGATTATTGAGTTATAAGGAATTTCCAGTCTGCTTTCTAGATTCAGAGTTTTAAATGTCAGTTTATGTTTTTTTCTTTTCGGCTTTTATTTCTTTAATGAACGAGATAATGGTGGGTTGAAAACGAAATATCTTTCTCTATGGTTTCTATTTTTTTCTTTTTAGTTTGAGAGAGAGAGAGTGAGTGAGTGAGTGAGAGAGAGTGAGTGAGTGAGAGAGAGTGAGCAAAGGATGCATGTGTTTAAAGGTATTTCACATTAAGGATGCCATACTGCTTTCCTTTTTCTCTATCAGATGCTGTTTGTACATCATGTACCTGAGTCATTTCTCACACACGTATCTATGTCAGATGCGATGCGAGTCATTTCCCACACACGTATCTATGTCAGATGCGAACATGTGTAACATTTCCTTTTTCTTTAAATGGTGTTAGTATGTGTATGAGACCTGTTTTTCGCACTCGTATCTATATTAGACACAAATGCATATATTTAGGTATGTGTAACATAGACAATGATAAATCTATTTGGGCACTTGCTATTATCTGGTTTCTTAAAAGTTATTTTAAATGTTGAGCTTTAAAAATTGTCCATTTTGTACTTTTCAGACCCTAATTTCTGTTCTTCAAAATCACAATATTTGGAGTTGTCTTTAGACTCCAAATTCTTGGAAGAATAACCCCGCTTGTTCAGGGTTTGCAATTCGGATAATGATTTTATACTTAGTCTGAACGCACTCCAGATGGATACAAAAGGACAAACAGTGTTTTTTCAAACCAATATGGAAAAATCTAATACCGTTATACCAAGGTCTATGGCTTAGTCACAAATAAAAGTCCTTGAAAAGTGGTATCTACACTGTGAAAACCGACAGTCTAGAACCCCAATAAATAGAGAACCGGAACAAATAATAGAATACCCAGATGGGGATATAGAAATACAATTCAACTCGAATAGACGAACCCAAATAAATATTTCTGAAACCCCTTCTAGAAATCCTTCAAGATGCTCTACTTCCTCTGTTCCGCGGTCAGAACATGAGCAAACCCACAGAAGACCAATAGTCGAAGGACTGACTAGAACTAATAGTCAAGTACAACAACCAGTATATAGAATATATGAACCTGGTTCCCCAGATAAAGAACCAACACCTTCTGATTTAGATTTTAATATTCTTACCCTTCAAAAGGAAGAAAAATTTAAAGAAAGGATCAAACAGGACTTTTTGTCCGATGAAAATAAGAAAATCAGAGACTGGTATCTGGTGGAATTTCCCTAAGAATTATTGGATGTTCTGCATAAAAAATTCAATAAATTTATATTAAAACATAAAAAGAATATAAAATTCTTTGATTGGTTAAGATACATCTTAAAGGAGAAAGAGATCGAAGTTCCAGAGTTTGATCTCAATACTTTTGAGAGTCAATATCAAACCTTTTGTACTACACAAGGGCAAGAACTGAACTCTATTCATCCTCCTGAAAAAAATCTTCAGATGAAATGAAAATCAGAAGATAAATCTGAGGCTCAAGCTTCATCTTATAAAATTACCCCAAAAAACAATGATCACCACACCTATAAAATAGATGCAATCCCGGATATAATTGAGCAAAATAATTATACTAATATATGTTTACAAACCATTGGAAGACAGACAACCAGGATTGAAAATATGATGAATAAACCTCAGGATAAGAAGACGGATCATAAGTCTGAGGGAAAGAAAGCTTTATTGTTCAAACCTCCCCAACTATCAATAAAGAACAATTTAGTCTTCAAGGAATAAAAAAGAAAGATGAAAATAAAGAATTGGTGGATGAGCTAATCAAAAAATTAGCAAAGTTAAATATAAAAAAAAAAAGGAGTAACTTTTAAGACTAGTTCTGATCAAGGAGCTATGGTTCTTCAAGAAGAATCTTTTTCCAATAACGAACTTAATGAAATAGAACAAGCTTTCAAGACTAAAAGCCTTGAAATAAATAGAATAGATTATGGAAAAAAGTTTAGGCCTACTTCTCAGACAATGATGTATTATCCTAGGCCTACTCATGTAGATCTCCAGTTTGAGGAAGATTTAATTACCAGCTCTATATCTTATTCTGGAAGATCCATTGTAAATTGGAATATTGATGGAATGTCTGAAAATCAGATTCTTGATTTAATGAAACATATGACCATGTACGCAACTGCGTATAAAATAAGTGGAAACCAAGACCAAGAAATAGCCAAAGCCATCATTTGTGGATTTACAGGATGACTATGAGGATGGTGGGATTTCCATATGGAAGAAAATACAAAAAATGAAATATTAACTGCCACCAAACAATGGGCAATTAAAATGAGTTTGGGCAAGATATAATAAATAATGAGAGTGATGCAGTCAGTACTTTAATATATACTATTACTCTGCACTTTGTGGGAAGTACTACATTACTCGATGCTAGATCAAAAGACCTTCTTTCTAATCTCAGATGCCCAACACTATCCCATTATAAATGGTATGAAGATGTGTTCTTCTCCATACTCTTTTCTAAAGAAGATAGTAAATCCGATCACTGGAAAGAAAAATTCATTTCTGGTTTACCCCATCTTTTTGTCGAGAAGGTGAAGACACGATTAAAAAATAAACATGGAGGAATAATCCCATGTTCTTTATATACATTGGGTGAGTTATCAGCCGAAATTTGTGCAGAAGGCCTTGCCCTCTGTACAGATCTAAAGCTAAAAAGACAGCTAGAAAAACAGAGAATGACTGGAAGAAAAGAGTTAGGAAATTTTTGTGAACAATTTGGATTTAATACTCTGTATTCTTCTAAAGATTCTAATAGAAAAAGATATAAAAATAGAAAATATAGCAGCAAGCCAGGATCCAATAGAAATACTGATAAACAAAAATTTTCTAAGAAATTTTTCCCCAAGAGTAATTTTAAAAAGGCCAGGGGAAAAAAAAGAATCTCTGTTTGCTATAATTGTGGTAAGGTAGGACATTATAAAAATAAGTGCAGAATCAAAAAGAAAATAGATGTTTTACAATTAGATGATAATATTAAAGATCAACTGTTTAATAAACTGCAAATTAATGAGGAATCTTCTGATAATTCTTCTGATTCTGAATTAGAGATGCTAACTGGAGAAATAGAAAATGACGATTAATCCTTAGTAGTTCTGACTCATATGATAATAATATTGATGCTTCTTATTTTTGCAACACCCATGCCAAAGAAGAAAATTTGATTATAGATATAATTGATAAAATAACTAATCCTGAGATTAAGCGGAAAGCTTTATATAAAAATAGCCAAAATGAATAAAAACCCCTCTCCTCCTCTAGTTCACACTCAAGAGGACTATAGTTTTGCCAAAATTCTTAGAAGGGTTGAGGACAAAAATAATGGTCCCAAAGAACCTTCTATCTCTGAATTGAGGCAGGAAATAAATGAAGTCCGTAATGAACTAATAAGCCTAAAAAATAGAACACAGATTATAGAGTTAGCCTCTAACCCTGTTGAAGATAGCCATGTTAATACAGATAATGAGATAGAATTTAATAATATTATAAATAATTATAAAAATCCTCTGCCCCTTACGAAAGAAGAATTTCTCCCTAAAATAGTTAAGGATGAACCAGAATCCTCCAATACAACACAAGATTGTAATTACATTAATCTTCTTGACAAAATAATTACTAAAAAATGGTTCACTATGATAAAAATAATAGTTCAAAAAGAATATAGTTTTCAAACCCTTGCTGTAATAAACTCATGAGCAGATTTAAATTGTATAAATGAAGGATTGGTCCCTACTAAATATTTTAGTAAGACCACTCAAGTCTTAAACACAACAGATGGCAGTAAGATGATCATAAACTATAAACTATCAAATGCTGCAGTATGCAATAATGACAGTTGCTTTGAGTTCCCCTTTATTATGGTAAAAGGATTAAGCCAATCTGTCATTCTGGGAACTCCATTTCTAAATATGTTTTACCCAATAAAAATCGATAATACTGGAATTGAAGCAAACATAGAAGGACATGATGTGAAATTTGAGTTTTTTGAAAAGCCAAAAACTCGAGAAATTAATAATATAAGAGAGAAAATTTCTAATAAAGAAAATTTCTTATATTTCATTTAAGAAGAAATAAAATATAAAACAATAGAGACTAAATTTCTACTTCCTGAAAAATAAAAGGGTAATAGAAACCCTCAGAAAAAATATTGAGACAGGGATATGTGCTAAAATTCCACATGCCTTTGGAATAGGCAAAAACATATTGTTCACCTGCCCTATGAAGCTAATTTTCATGAAGAGAAAATTCCTACCAAAGTTAGACCAATCCAAATGAATCCCAGGCTTCTGGAAATATGTAAAAAAGAAATTGTTGATTTACTTCAGAAAAAGCTTATTAGAAAAAACTCCTCTCCTTGGAGCTATTCAGCATTCTATGTGGAAAAAGCTTTTGAAATAGAAATGAGGGCTCATCTATTGGTTATAAATTATAAACCACTTAATAAATCTTTACGATGGATAATATATCTCATTCCCAATAAAAGAGATCTGTTAGATAGACTTGTTAATGCTTGTATCTTTTCTAAATTCAATCTAAAGTCTGGATATTGGCAGATCCAAATTGTTGAAGAAGATCGTTATAAAATTGCTTTCAATGTTCCTTTCGGACAATATGAATGGAATGTTATGCCATTCGGGCTAAAAAATACCCCTTCACAATTTCAAAACATCATGAATGATATTTTCAATCCCTATGCTAAATTTATGTTTGTCCATATTGATGATGTCCTAGTGTTTTTTGAAATTCTAGAACAACATATAAAACATATAAATATTTTTGTCTAAGCAATCAAAGTAGCTGGGTTGGTAGTTTCTGCCAAAAAGATTAGTCTTTGTCAAACAAAAATAAGATTTTTAGGGCACAATATTTTCCAAGGAAGAATAATTCCTATTGATAGAGCTATTAAATTTGCCAATAAATTCCCAAATGTGATCAAAGACAAAACTGAGCTCCAGAGATTTTTGGGTTGTCTTAATAATATTGCCGATTTTTATAAAAATTGAGCTATTGATGCTAAACCATTATTTCAAATATTAAAAAAGAATCCTCATGAATGGACGGAGGTGCATACTTCAGAAGTAAAAAAAATAAAAATAAAGGCTAAAGAGTTACCCTGTCTTATACTCTCCGACCCTACAGCTTTTAAAATAATTGAGTGTGATGCTTCAGAGAAAAGGTTGGGAGGAATATTAAAACAAAAATTTCTAATACTAAACATTTGGTTTGTTTTACTTCCCGAGTCTGGAATATGACCCAACAAAATTAATCCACTGTTAAAAACGAACTCATTGCTATTGTCCACTGTATTACTAAATTTCAGAGTAATATACTCAATCAAAAATTTCTCATTCGAACCGATTGTAAGGCTGCAAAAGACATACTCTTTAAAGATGCCAAAAACCTTGTCTCCAAACAAATTTTTGCTCGATGGCTAGGTATTCTCTCTTCCTTCGAATTTGAGATTGAACTTATTAAAGGCAATACTAATTACCTTCCTGATTTTTTAACTCATGAGTTTTTGCAGGGGGGACAGGAGGAGTTTGAGTTTAGCAAAAAAGAAAAAGATGGAAATAGTTCCAATACCAAATAAATCCTTAGCAACATCTTCATCACCAATAACCCCAAACCAAATAATAAAAAAACAAGCTCAAGAAATTACTTTTTCTCCTGAACCAATACCTATAGCTATAAATACAACAAGAT